GGGGAAAACTGCAAGTTTGGTACCAGCTATTACCGTTTTTAACATTTTAGGGTAAGTCTTTTCAATCAACATCCTATGTATGTGTATGTTTGTATAATCGTACTGAGGATGCTGCTCTACAGTCTGCTCTCTCAGTTAACATTATGAATACTTTGCAGGTAATTTAAAATAACCACTTCAGACTTTATTGACTAATATATCATAATTTACTTAGTTTCCTGGTATTTGACCGATGTTGCTTCCAGTGTTTTACTCTTAAAAATAATGAAGCAGTTAACTTGTTTATAAAAACTACACAATTATTTCTGTGGAATAAAATTCTGAATCAAATGATAATTACATTTTCATGGTATTTGATACAATATTGTCAAACTATCACCCAAGAATTTTCTAGCAATTTATTTTCCCTGCAGTGGCGGATGAGTTTCCACAGGTGGGAAAACATTGGTTATTGTCATTAAATTCTTTAGCAATCTGATTGGAGAAAACAAAGTTTTAACTTTGTTTCAATATGCAGTTTTGGGATAAGTAATCAAGATGATATGGATCTATTTTAAAGGTAGCACTTACTTTGCCCAAGGTGTCCATGATGAATTTTCTGGTTTTCTTGGTGTCTTCTAGGGTATACCAGAGAGAACTTCACTTGTGGACTCTGCTCTTGTGCAAACAGGGCCAAGTACTTATAGTCTTTATACACTGAAACTCATTAAAAATCATTACACAATATGCGGGAACCAGAGAGGTGAAGTGATTGGCAAACGTGTGAAAGTAAAGGACAGAAAGAAATGTAAAGGAATCATTATGGAGGGGTTTGAGAGGGAGGATGCTAAATGAGGAGAGAAGTAGTTTGAAGGTAGCAATGGTGACTTAAAAGAAAGCATGACAGATATGAACAACCAAATAAGGTCAAGGGCAGAAATGCAACTGGGAGCAGAAAATCAAATCAATTAAACTTCAATAGGATTTTGCCTCTCTCTTATGTGAGTCAGTGCAGCATAGTGGTTAAAAGCATGGATACTAGCACTAACAGACCTGCATTCAAGTCTTTGTTTTGTCTTTTACCTGCTATGAAAGAAGGCAAGAAATCCAACCTCGCTGTGCTTCAGTTCCCCCCTCAGTAAGGTGAGGGTGATTATAGTGGTTCCTACCTCATAGGTTTGTTATAAGCACTAAGAGAGTTAACATCTGATAAATGTTTAGAACTGTGTCCAGCCCATAGCATGGCATGACTATTTGTTTTCCGTTATTACTATGATGTCTCTCAGCACACTGATTTCACTTTCTCACCACCAGCTTGCTTTTGCCAAATACGAGAAATATGGTCACAAAAAGACCATTTGATTCTTAAATCTAACAACTGCAACAAGACAGTTCAGGAGGTCTGTCTCTCATCTTAAGTAAAAAATGTAAGGAAGGCTCTCCTTGCTCATCTTCGATCAGGTGCTCACTCCTGGACCAATGACATCTAGCCAGAGTTGTGGGTTTGGGGTAGAATTTGGCAGCTACTGCCACAGCCAAGTTGATTCCCCGGAGCAGCTGAAGGTGGGTGGGGAAAATCACAGGGCAGGTTGGTTCCATTGTAAATTCTTGTTCACCAAGATCAAATGAAGTCTCAACATTGCTTGACAATCCAACATTGTCCTAGCCAAGCCGCTGTGCAATTTCCTGAAATAACTGGCAGTCTTTCAACACTCATGTCAAATATCTGACTATCCCCCCATCCTCCTCCATTCCCCTTTCACTCAGGAGATGAACTTACAATACAGATAATTCATCCAGTAGCTCCATATCCAATTCATTAACAAGTTCTGCCAGCTCTGCCTCCAATATATTTCTCAAATTTGTTAGTGTTTAATGTCTAAATCCCTCCTCTAGAATATAATTTTTTTT